TCGTGGAGAAACGTTGAAACTTGAAATAACCGGTAACGCCGTTAACGCGCGTGGTCTTGTCCAGGATGTCTTACGACCAGACCGAAAGCGTCATCAAGAAAATAATTCGCGAAATTGGACAAGAATGCGCCGCCCAGGGACAAACCGTTTCCGAAACCTTGGTGGCGTTTGTGGTAAGCACGAATTAATGCCCACGGGTGCTTTTTTAGTGTTTCGTCTGGTTGCTTTTCTCATCACATTCAAATTCTGCTGTGGCCCGTGAAATATTAAGCTAAATATGGACTGATAGCATATAGATGAGATGTTTCAAACCTGGGTGCCTGCAGCTTGGCTCTTCAAACTGGTTTTTAAGGCTTGTGTGAAGTCGGGGCTTAACTTTATCCCATGTGAATAGTTCCCCTGAGGTCACTGAGTGACACTGCTCAGGCTGTATGGCATGAAGCGAGGACAGAAATCATCCCTTTGGTCTTCAATGTCAACAAACTTCAAATGGCAGCTCCCCGGCAGCCTGCCGAGGCTGGGATGGCAGCAGCCAAGGCTTTCAGGGGAGATTTGAACTTTGAAATATCTCCGTTTCTGATTGCCCACATTGAGAAGTTCTAAAGGGATATTCAGTATAGGGTCCTAAAAACCTGAAAAAGTATTTAATTCCTCTGAAATGCTATCTATGCGAATATAAGGCCCTGAAAAGGCTGCAGGTCCCAAGTCCTGGGGACTCTTCAGACTCCAGAGTTCTCCCCTAGTTTTCTTCTACAGGCAGATAAACCATTTTTTTTCTTTCTAAAGTGAAAAAGAGATGTGTTCCCAAATTTTAGTAACATTTCTTCCCACTCTCATAAATGAACAAAAAGGCATGATGCATAGGAGAATGTTTGCTGCAACAGCTATATTTATTTTTTGATGTTTACCTCTTCTCTCTATTGTGATGGATTTTTTTGTTTGTTTCCCTGTTTAGGCAGGGCCAGGTAGTGTAAATGGGCTGAATATTTGCAAGAGTGGCCTTGGATCCCACTTAAACTACAAATGAAATGGAATCAATCTCGGTGTTGTCCTTGGTAGACAACTATAAGTATCCTAAAAAACATTATACACTCTGGCATCTCCTCTTAGGAGACACAGCACCACTGCAGAATACAGTCTGAATGCATCTGCATAGCTGCGTCTGAAGAAAGACGGAGCTAGGTTCTTTCATTATTGATGGTATAAGAACAGAATCAGCTCTCGATAAACTTGTATATGAATGTAAATTGTTCACAGCAGTGCTGTTAGTCTGCCATTTTTTTTTTTCCTAAAGGTGACACTATGGCTTTAAAAAATATAGTGGGCTCAAAAGGAGTATTAATCAATTAAGCATGAAAATTTCAGTGACTAAAAAACTGGTACAAGTGGCTGGCAAGATACCCAGCATGTGTACCAGTTGCAAACATGCACGTATTTCCCCATATGCAGAACACTATGAATTTTTTATCAAAATGGTAAACATTTATACTGATGCATATAACACCAACTGAGAAGTTTATAAACAACCGTGATGGATTTTTGTAAAATTTTACTCAGAAAAATATTTTTTCAGGAATTTTTTAAAGGAGCTATATTTAAATATTTCTCTGCAAAGTTTGCATCACAGATAGATTTTTTTTTTCACTTAAAAGTCTGACAACTGAGATTGAAACTGGCAACACGTGAAATGAAGCAACTTTGTTTCATTAGCAAAGATGGAAATGGAAAAAAAGAACAGTAAATAAATACTGACTGCATCTGAGATTTTTCAGAAAAGAAAAGCTTAGTTGCAAAGAGTATATGTTGAGATGTAAATTAATAGCTTTCTTTTGGCAATCTCTAGGTGAAAGCTGTTGTTTTAGATCCAAGAAATGACTTTAATGTGGATCAAATCCTTACCAAAAAAGATGTGCAAAATCTTATCCAGGTAATTCTGACATAATGTTGAGACTCAGTACTTAGCGAAGACTATAGCACTCTGTGCTCCCTGTTCCTGTAACTAAAATGCCATTTTTTTTAATATATTAACACTTTCAAAATGTTGATGCTACTTTATTCTCATGGTTCTGTAGCTAGAGGCTGGACTATGTGTTTCCTTGTGTAAATAAATGCCTTACACTTATAAATGCCTTAGAGAGAGAGAATGGTAGTGAGGGGGCTCTACTGCTGATGTGTAACCTGTAACACAGCCACTGTCAGTTCAGACGTTCCCCCAGTGATGAGGAAGAACTCACTTCTCTGTCTCTCTTCTTAGCTCTGTGTTGCCAGACTGCTTGACACAACCAGCCCATCCCTGAGCACAATTAAGATGCAAGTTTACTTTGATATGAACTATGCAAACCGAGGTAATTTCAAATATGTTTTCATACAAAGAAGCTGATGCTGAGTTTAGGATTTAATATGTGTAGGGCTAATAATGGTTCCTGTTAAATGACTGCTGGCAGTAAAGCAAAATAAAAATCCCAGAAGAAAGGTACTAGATGGGAGTATGGTGTTTCGGTATGGATACAGTAGGGCAAAAATGTACATTAGATTTGAGAGTGCACTGATCTCATCCTGTCTGAGAGATTTACTGAATGTATTAGATCGCTCGAGAACAACTGTGCTTCCAGGTGCAGTGGCCAGCTGCCTTCAGCAAGAAAAACTTGGGCTGCACCTGTGTATCTGAAAGAGAACCAGTACCCAGAACTGCACTCACGTTCATCTGAAAGAGAACTTGGTGTTTTTATCCATATCCCTAATTGAGACATATGAGCAATCTTGAACAATCAGTTACAGTTTTAACCCAGTATTTTTTGGCCTCATCAGTGGTAACTTTATATGGTCTGAGAATGGGAATGGGGAAGGAAAATGTGATGGGAAAAATGTCTCTGCTGTAACTTCAGATCTCAATGGGAGAGTGAGGGCTGGCTGGGAAACAGAAGACACAGAACAAGAGTAGACAAAAAATAAACATTGCTCTGTGAGGAGGTCATTATGTGTTTTCTTGTTAGCATGGTTTAAAACCAAAAATTAGCAACCCTGGGAAGCTGCTCCAAAGTCTAGAGGAGTCCAGAGAGCCAGAGACTTGCTGCTTAATTTGGCCTGAATAGTTCTCTGGACTCTACTGACTGATGTTAATCATGCTAATTATGTTAATGGTTAACTCCACTGTTGTTCATTATAGCAGTATGGTACCTTGAACATCTCTTCCACATATCCGTGCTTCAGAAGCCTTAAGTTGGTGCTCTGACTGTGGAAATGGATTGCACTTTCTGTATGAGCCGAATTCCAAAGAATTTAGACAGCACTTTCTAACTGCCCTTCTTTCCTAGCTGAATTACTCAGTGAGCAGCGGCGTGTTCTGGAGGGAAGGCTGGCTCCTGTGGTCAGAGATATCACAGATAGTCATCCTCATGTGCAAGAGGAAATGGAGAATGTGTATCTAAAGATCATTAGCTATGTGCTGCTGAGCTCTGGCCTGGGACCCCCAACAGATATTGAGGTTGTCAGGGAGGCAACAGGTCAGTAAACTCCCAGCTGTGAAACTGCGCTTTTCTTATTGAAAAATAAAATTTCACCTTCTCTTTGCTGATCTTTAGATACTGATATGGTAAACTGTGATGAATGCTTGCTACCCAAACTGTCACTGCTCAGCCTTGAAGTGTAAATTTGACATGGATTTCCTACTTCTTGCAGTTGTTCAGGAGAGGGGTTTTTGCTTGTTCAATGATTTTCTTTTCTGTTTCCTCATATGGAGGGTTTTCTCACCCTTTGTAATGCTTACAGCTGCCCTGCAGAGTGTATTTCCCCAGACAGAGGTGATTACTTTCATCTCACTCAGTAAGAAGAACAAAGAGCAACAGCTGAAAACCCTTGCCATGCTAGTCATGGGAATTCGGTTGTACAACAAGGAATGTGGGAAAGGAGGAAGCAGCATTGACGAGTGTAAGTAGACAACTGCATTTGGGCTGTGTATTCCCAATTAATTCTTCCTGGCCTTCTTCACTGGAGCAGCTCCAGTAATATCCCATCTCGCTAGATATACAGCTTTGACTCAGGGTCTGTGAACCTGGAGGAAGAGTACACATTTTGTATTGATGATAGGTTTCCATGTACGCCACTACTTTTTAGCTAAGAGGGAGCCCTATGTGGCTGCTGTGGAAGGATTATACGTATTAACTTCATGCACTAATTTACTTCATGATGATAACTTGTTCCCTGATCCCTTTTCATTAAGTGAATTAAATATGTAATGTTTGCCTTTAAAAGCAGTTAATTAAAATATCGAAAGGACACTGTCAATCCAGTTACAATTTTCTGTTGAGTATGTGTGATGAGAGTGATAAAAGTTGCTGGGGCATTATCTGTATTCTAGTAATTTAGAGTCACTACGGTAATGTAGGGTTTCAATTTGGAATATTTCTGCTTCTTTAATAAGTAAAAAATGTCAATGGCTATCCTGGAATTTTTCAAAAGCTGTATTCAGAATAGGGCAAGACTTTGCTATTCCTCTTATTTTCTCTTTTCCCCCAAAGCCACATTATTTCTGGTAAGTTTGCAATTAATAGTCAAATAAATGACTGATCAGTGGAAATGTTTTTGTGAATATGCATGTAATATTGTAGCTCAGTGTGGAGACATTTTTGTAAGAAAGGTCTGCAGCCCAAGTTTAGGGGAAAACCTTTTATTTTAAAAGAGCAAAGTTTCTGGAATAAAGGCTACTCTCCTGTTAAGAAAATTGTGCTTTTTTGGAAAGCAAAGCACTTGCTTAGCGAGACAGTATTTTAAGTAAAGCAGTATCAGTAGGAAAAAAAAATATACCTACCACATCAGTGAAAGAAGTAAGGAATTGTCTAAATTTTAATTTTTTTTTTCTCACAGGCTAAGCAAGGCATTGTTGGTTTTCTATTTTTATATTATAAAGCTTTCCCACAAATGTCACCTTCCTGTGTTGTGGCTGGCTCTTTTCTCGGTTCACTGGATCTGGGTTACAGCTTGAGGGAACATTCAAATATTGTGGTTATACAAAAGGCATGATTTACAACATGTTGTGGTCTTTGTCAATATAATATTTGTGGGTTTTGTAATCAATAAATAGATTATATGATTGTTAATCCTGTTACATTTCTTAGCTTACTATAATATGGACTTCTTTGCGCTGACCTATTTACATATCACTTCTGAATAGATGGAAAAAACACAGGATGAATGCTTTTTGGTCAAGCGATAAAATGGATGTCTTTACCCTTAAGGCCAGTAGTTAGACTGCTAAAGCCTTCATTTGTCAGCAGCAGACTTGCTGGGGTAGGGTGCCACCTTGGCTTTTTACCCTGCTTCCAAAAAATTAAATCAGTCAAGTGCTAAGCTTTCTCAGCCTGTGGGTAAGCCACTTGTAATACCTGTGCAGACTTACTTCCCATTCTACCTTTGTTAAATCTAGCCTTTCTGTGCTCAGAGGGTTTTGAGTAGACTTAGCTCAAGGCTCATTACTGCACTGCTGCTTGCTGATGTTGCTAGCTTTAAAAGTTCAGCACACACAACAAAGGGCTGTATTGTGCACTTAAAGAAAGTGGCTAGGCTTTCTTATCCTATTTCCTTTCATAGAAGTCCGCTTAAATAACAAAACGTATCAAAGCATTCAGTGTAGTGGTTGTCTGCTGTCCATAATGAAGTTCTAAAGAAAAAAAAATATTTCTAGTATATTTCATATCAGCTAAAATATTTTTATTGACCTGTGCTGAATTTGTGGGTTTTTTAAAGTCCTAATGCTGAATTTTAATAACTGCATAGGCGTATTTTTTCATGTAGTATTTATCTTCTGTTTTTAATAATACTCTTTGACTCATTCTTAGATTGTTGTTAGATCTCAAAGTGCCCAGAAAATGGGAGGCCTGTTATTGTTATTAAAATTTTACAAATAAGGAAACGGAATTAAAAATTGTGCAGATTACCTCCAGTCTCTCAAGAAACCCATGTCAGTAGTAGCAACTGAATTGCATCTACTATAAAGCAAGCTTTCTCACAGTCCTTGACTGGACTGTGATGACATCAAGCTGAGTGGTGTGGTGACACGCTGGAGGGAAGGG